TGCGCACAAGCTTTGAACCGGTTTTACCACGAGCTAAACAACTGGAACCACGAGCGTTCACACGTCGAAGTCGGCGTGGCAGCTAGGCAGCATCTCAGCATGTACAGGCTCCTGCATATCGAGGCTCGCATTGACAATTCTGATTCGTGTTTCTGGAAACTGTATCCTAAACATCACCTGTTTATCCATTGTGCCGAAGATCAGATCGAGGCGCACGGAAATCCAGCCAGCCACTGGTGCTACGGCGACGAGGATGAGATAGGTGGCGCCACTGAGGCTGCAAGGTTTGCCCACCCCCGTACCATTGGGACCAGCATTCTCGATAGGTACCGATGCGGTGATCTTTTCAAGTTTCAGCCAGCCAGTTCTGCTGCGTCAGTGTTCCAGCCAAGCACCTAGGGCCTAAACTAGAGCGAACTACAATAACATGAGAAACATCGGACAACATCATGAAACCTCTTATTCAATGGTGCTTGGCTGTCTCCTTTTGTTGCGTGCCTGCAGCATGCTGAGTTGCTCGAGCGTTCGCTTGTGGGGAAAAGCGAGGCGAAAAACGTGCTAACGCTGGCTGCTCCTGCTTTTCCTTCCTCCACCACCTCCTCCACTCCTCTCTTCTCTTCCCTTTTCTCCTCATTCCTCTCGCCTCCTCCTCCTCCTCCTCCTCCACCTCCTCCCCCTCCTCCTCCTCCTCCTCGTCCCACTCCTCCTCCTCCTTCTCCTCCTCCTCCTCTTCCTCCTCCTCGTCCTCCTCCTCATGCTGCTCCTCCTCCTCCTCCTCCTCCTCCTCCTTCTCCTCCTCCTTCTCCTCCTCCTCCTCTGTTCTCTCTCCTCTCTCCTCTCTCCTCCTTCTCCGCCTTCTCCACCTTCCTCTCCGTAACTCTCCCTGTCCTTCCTGGTCCCACGACGGCCGTCTGGTTGGGGCACCCATGGGAGAACAGCGACGACAAGGACGGTGCGGAGGAGGAGGAGGAAGAGGAGTACGAGGAGCAAAAGGACCAGCAGCAGCAGCAGCAACAGCAAAAACAGCAGGAGGAACTTGAAAGGGAAGAAGGAGAAGGAGGAGGAGGAGGAGGAGGAGGAGGAAAAGGATGAGGACCCTTTGCTCGCTATCCTTGTTTTGGCTGCGCTGCTAAAATGGCCCGCCTCTCTTGGTAGCGGACCCTGGCTCAAACCATAAGCCTACGGGCGTCTCGTTGCGCTCCTCAAAAATCCCCTCATGTAGCCATTTTGGCTCAAACCCCATGGCGTGGCCCGTAGGCCCGCTGCGCACGAACGCTGTTTGAAGGTTCAAGCCGTGGCCCGTAGGTTCACGGATGTCCCATAGCACTTTTGCAGCGCAATTAATTGATGCGTGCTGGCACGATCTACGCGAATACCCAACATAAATTCGTGAAAAATCCAAGATTCACGAAAAATTCAAGATTTTGCTATATAACAGCTTGCCCCCCCCAATAATTATTGTACCCCCCCAATAATCCTTACTGAAGTACATGACCTCCAATAATATTGGGGGTCCCCAAACCACTTTGCGGTTTGGGCGTTTTTATGTGGATTCGATGCTCTGGGTACGACTACTACTACTACTACTGCGACCACTTCCACTACGATTGGTATTCCGATCACTGCTATTACTACTACTACTAATACCACTACTACTACTACTACTACTACTACTACTACTACTACGACGACTACTGCCACTACTACTAATCATCCTACTACTACTACTACTACGGCGAATACGGCTACTGCTACTACCATTACAGTACTATTCATACGACTGCGACTACTAGGACTACGACGACCACGACTTCGACTTCGACTACCTGCTACTACTACTACTACTACTACTGCTGCTGCGGCTGCTGCTGCTACTACTACTACTACTACTACTACTACTACTACTACTTCGACTGCTAGTACTACTATATACTACTGCTGCTACCACTACTACTACTTTAAATGTTTCCCCGGCCACGGCGACAACTTCTAGTACTGCTGGTACGATACAGGCGCTTGCTACGGCTACGGCTGTCATTACGGCCACATCTACAAGTATTACGACTGCGGCTACACCTACGACTAGGATTACGACTCCTGTGACGACGACGACCATTGCTACCAGTACTAGCCCTGCTAATACTACTCCGACCCCGACTCCTACTCCTACTTCTATCCCTACTCCTATTCCTACTACTACTACTACTACGACGGCGACGACGATTACTATTACTACGACTAATACCTTGAGCACTACTCTCACGACTACGACTCCTACTCCTACCCCTACGTCTACTCTCACTACGTCTGCTACTACGACGACTACAGCACCTACGATTACTACTACGACTGCGACTACATTAACTATAACACCAACTACGACTACGACTACGACTACGACTACGACTACGACTACGACTACGACTACGACTACTACTACTACTACTACTACTACTACTACTACCTATGCTACTACTACGACTACTACTACTACTACTACTACTACTACTACGACTACTACTACTACTACTACTACTACGGCTGCTGCTACTACTATTACTAATAGTACTACTACTACTCCTACTACTACTACTACTACTACTACTACTACCACTACTACTACTACTCGTACCCGTATTGGTACGAGTAGTCGTAGTCCAACTGCTACTTCTACTGCTATTACTACTACTACTACTACTACTACTACTAGTACTACTACTACTACTACTACTACTACGACTACTACTACTACTACTACTACTACTACTATTACTAAGACCACGCTCAAGACAACTTTTACGCTTGCTACTGCTACTACTACTACTACTGCTACTACTACTATTACAACTAAAACTACTGAACCTACTACTACTACTACTACTACTACTACTACTACTACGACCTCTACTAAGACGACGGCAGATACTACTACTACTGCTACTACGACGGCTACTGCTACTACGGCTGCTTCTACTTGCAAAACAACTGCAAATACCGCAGCCACTACTCACACCAATACTATCACTACTACGACGACGACGACGACTACCACCACCACTACCACTACTACTACTGCTACCACTACTACAACTACTACTACTACTACTACTACTACTACTCCTACTACTACCACTACTACTACTACGACTACGACTACTACTAATACTACTACTACTACTACTACTACTACTACTACTACGACTACGACTACTACTACCACTACTACCACCACTACTACTACTACTACTACTACTACTACTACGGCTACGACTACTACAACTACGACTCCTAGTGCTACTACTACTACTTCTGCTACAGGTGCCAGTACCACGACTACTACGGCTACTATTATTACCACTACTGCTATCACTACTACTAGTATTACTGCGACGACGACGACGACTACTACCACTACTACTACTACTACTACTACTACTACTATTACTACTACTACTACTACGACTACGACTACTACTGCTACTACTACTACTACTTTTACTACTACTACCACTACGTTCACTACTACGACGACGACCACTACTACTACTACTACTACTACTACTACTACTACTACGATTACGACTAAGACTACTACTACTACTACTACTACTACTACTACTATTGCTACAATACTACGGGTACTAGTAGTACTGCTACTACGACAACTACTACTACTACTGCTGCTAGTATTACTGCGACTACTACTACTACTACGACGACGACGACGACGACTACTACTACTACTACGGTTGCTACTACTACAACTACTACCACTACTACGACTACGACTACGACTACTTCTACTCCTCCTACTACTACTACTACTACTACTACTACTACTGCGACACTACTGCTGCTACCACTTCGACGCTACTACTACTACTACTACTACTACTACTACTAGTACTACTACTACTACTACTACGATTACTACTACTACTACTACCAGCACCGCTACAGCTATCTCAGTTGCTACTGGTACACCTTCTGCGACTACAGCCACTACTACTGCATTTACTAGTACTTTCACTACTGATACTACTACTGAACTAGCATTACTACGACTACGACTACTACTACTAACCACTACTACTACTACTACTACTACTACTACTACTACTACTGCTACTGCAACTGCTACTGCTACTACTACTACTACTACTACTACTACTACTACTACTACTGCTACTGCTACTACTACTACTACTACTACTACGACGACGACGACGACGACGACGACGACGACGACGACGACGACGACTACTACTACTACTACTACTACTCGTACTACTACCACTAATTATGATACTCATCGTCGTTGCCCTTCTCCTTCTTCTCCTCGCATCCCACTCCTCCCCACATCACCCCTTGGGTTATCAAACATCGCGCTTCGCGCCGCGCGAACCGCATTTATCTCTGCGCCCGTACGCCGCTCAGGCCCAGACTGCGAGGCGCGGTCACCTTCGCGCCCCATCGGGTACCCCGGCCCGTCCCGCTCGCTCTCCCCCCGCCGCTTTCCTCCCAAGATCAGCTCGCTGCTGTCGCCCGGCACTTGCCCTGCTCTGCCTCACCCGCTTCCCCCCCTGCTCCAAAGCCTCTTGAGACCTCCAAGAATCCTCCACGGGACCAGGGACCTCCAGAGACCTCCAGGCGGGGACCTCAAGAGACCTCCGAAGGCCAGCCCTCCTCTCGCCTTCCCCCGCCCTCCCAATCTGAGTGAGGGTGCTCGCCAGCCAGTCCTCTGCATAATGGCTTATCCGCTCGCTTGCTCCTGTGCTTGCACTCTCGTCACGCGCGAGGAAACTTCTCTCACATGCCATCGGAGCTTCATCGCAATTGGCCCTCCGCCGAGGCATCCTCTGAGCCGCCCCCCCCCCGCCCCCTGGGCAGGCCCACAAGAATTGCGGCCGCGACACCCTCCCGAGAATCGAAGACAGGCAATTCGCCAGTCGAGCTGGCAGCAGGTGGGGTGCTTTGATCGCCCACCCGCCCATCTCCACCTCGGGCGGCTCAGACTCGGTGGCGTTGGCGCCCGACGCCGCCCTCGCGCCGCTCTGCAGCGAGCCCTCGCCGCGGCCGTCGTCCAGGATGGTGAGCGCCGCGGAGCGGAGGGGCAGCAGCAGCGACAGGGCGCGCAGGGCGCGCCGCGGCATATGGAGATGCGGTAGCCTGCCAGCGGGGGGGGACCCGCTAGCGTATCATGGAACGATGCGCCTCGCGAGGGCCCCGCTCGCCCCGCTGGGGAGGTGGGCGGGCGCGAGCGCTCGACTCGAGCCGATCCAGGCGGCGAGGGGCCGCACCTCGGGCGTGCTGGCAAGCTCGTGGGCGTCGAGCAGGCTCCAGCTCGCTCGAGCGCGTGGTTAAGGAGCTCGCTCAGACGCCTCGGCCCCGCCCAGCCTCCTCGTCTTCCTCCTCCTCCTCGTCCTCCTCCTTGCCGCCCTCCTCCTCCTCCTCCTCCTCTTCATCCTCCTCCTCCTTCTCCTAGTCCTCCTCCTCCTTCTCCTCCTCATCCCCCTCGCCGCCTTCCACCTCGTCCACCTCTGAGATTTGAGAAGGTGCTCCAAAGGGTGCAGACAACAAGCGTGCGCACAAGAGTACGGCGAGCATGCCGAGGCGCGCTCCTGGCGAGCCTGCAGCAGCGCGCCAGCCGGCCCTCCCTCACCCCTTCCTCCTTCGCCTCCCCCCCTCCTCCTTCTACTCCCCCCTCCTCACCCCTCCCTCCTTCTCCTCCCCCTCCTCCAACATGCACGAGATGTGTCCCGAAGGAAACGGACCCTGGACCCTTGGGCTGGGCCGGCTCTCCGTCACGGGGGACCGCTTCGTTCTGACCGGCTCGGGGCCATGGGAAGGGCCCCGAGAGCGCCCGGAGACGGCGGCAGAAAATTCAAAACCTGACTGCTGCCCAAGAGACGGGGAAGACAAGGGGAAGGAGGAGGAGGAGGAGGAGGAGGAATAGGTGGAAGAGGAGGAGGAGCAGGAGCAGGAGCGGGAGGACGAGGAGGACAAGGAGGACGAGAAGACGAGGAGAAACAGACGGAACGACTGCAAGAACATCTCACATCCTTACTTAGCCACGCTACGACACTGCCTCCGAAAGGGACGCCAACGATTTTGTTTAATGGCCTCGGCGGCGATGGAACGAACGATCAAGTGGGGGAACGATCCGCTGGTGGCATCGCGCCTGTCCTCGTGGAGAAAGCGATGCAGGAGGAACATCACGAGGGAAGAAGAAGAAGAAGAGGAGGAGGACGAGGAGGAAGAGGAGGAGCGCACGTCGCCTGGGGAAGCGGACCTGTCAGAAGGTCTCGATAACCTTGATGAGACTGCGCGCTCAGACACCCTCCAGCACCGAAAAAGTTAGACGGATCAAGCGGCGGCGCGGAAGCAGAAATGGAAGGGGCGGCAGTCCTCCTCCTCCTCCTTCTCCTCCTCCTCCTCCTCCTCCTCCTCCTCCTCCTCCTCCTCCTCCCCCTCGTCCTCCTCTTCCGCCTCTTCCTCCTCCTTGGATCCTCGGAGTAGTGCATCGTGGCGAACGGCGCCTGCGCGCCCCCGCGCGCTTGGGCAAAGGCGCGCGCGCGCGCGGCGAGAATTGCCCCGGGCGGATACAGACGTGCAGCGCTGGGCACCCACGGGTGCATGTGGTTGTTCTTCCATGCTCAGCCCCACCCCATCATCAGCATCATCATCAGCATCGTCATCCGCATCATCAGCATTATCACCATCATCATCACGATTCGTCGTCGTCCTCCTCCTCCTCCATATCCAACGTTTTCAACACGTTCGCCCTCCCTGCCCATCCAACTCGGATGTGACAACATTCTCTTCGCCACACCACCAAACTGGTCAGTACGGCGGGCTGGGCGCTTCGCTGGTCATGCAACTGAGCGTGTCATGCAGCTTCATTGTTGCTGCTGCTCAAATCGGGGGTATCAGCATGTGGCCACCGACGCAAAGTCGCGAACACCCCTTTGGAATCTAGACCTGGCTTACAAGGGTTGGCAGCAAGTGTCTTTCAAAACGCGCCCCCCCCCCGCCCCAGCGCCGCGAACCTGCCCCTTAAATTGTTCAAGCGTTTTCGTTTGTGGATTGCAGGTGGCTTCCCAAAAGTCGCCATCAGAATGGCGGCGTGCACATTCGCAGTACATGTTTTGCACCAGCGGAAAGGATGTAAAAGTAGATACTCTTCAATTCGGCACCGCGCATGCGCGTCACATGTGCCGCCAGCTAATGCAACAGCTACGCAGATGGAGCGTCCAGTTGTCCTCCGAATTGGCATGTGCGGTCGGACACGCAATGTTGCGAAACCTTTGGACGGACGGTTGCCGACACCAGCTCAAGACAAGACCTTCGCATGAGACAACGTAATTAATTTGCAAAGCAGACACAGGCGATTACCTCTCAAAACCCGGCGTTCGCTGGAGAGCCGTTGCGCTGTACGGCCCTGCCGCCCTGCCTGATGGCTAGAAGGATGGATGGCGGATCTGTTGAAGAGAGGGGGCTCTGGCGCGAGTGGCATTTACACATGTCTTTGATCTGCAGGGCGAGAGCGATCCTCCTCCGCGCTGAAAGCGAGGCGGGACGCGCACAGCTTTGATTGGCAGAGAAAGGGCGGAAGAAGGCGGGGCGGCATTTCCTGACATGTGTGCTCACAATAGTATACGCACGTGCAAAACAATCACGCGCGCGCTGCGCGCGCACTTTAACTCCAGTCAAGTCCGAAAACTTCATTGTTACCTTCGTCCTCCGCATCAGCATCCTCGTCCACGCCCATGGCAGGCACGCAGTCCCGGAGGCCACGGACGCGGGAATGGGGTCGAATGCGTCGACGTCGTCGTCGGCGTCGTCGCCGTCGTCGTCGTGGTCGCGGCAGCGGGATAGGGAACGGGGGAGAGAGGGAGAGGGGAGGGAGGGAGGGAGGTAGGGAGGAACGGAGCAGAGAGGCATGAGAGGCAAAATGGAGGGAACGCGAAAGGGAACGAGGGATGGATCAGCGGATGAGTAGAGATTCTTCTTCTGTCCTTTCCTCCGCCTCCTCATTAATGATTCCTCCTCCTCCTGCTCCTCCTCCACCTCCTCCTCCTCCTCCCCCCTCGTGATCCTCACCTTCGTCCTCTGCCTCCGCGCTCCTCCTTCCCTCCTCGTCCTCCCCTTCATCTTTCAACTTGCGGTGGCAATCGTGTTCCCGGGAGGCTTTCCAAGAACATGATGGAACATGATGGCTTGGGCCGTGTTGGGGGCCACCTGGGATTCCTCTGGGCCCGTTTTCGATGATAGAACATACTCGCATACATGCAATCATACGTAGATGCGTACATACATGCATGTATGGATGCATGCATGCATGCATCCATTCATACATCTGCATATACATTCGCTATATATATATATATAAATAAACATAGACACCGATGCTCTGACCGTCGCCGCACTAATGCAGGGTCGCGAGTGGGCCCTCTTCGGCATTGCCTGGGGTTGCTTTCACGCTGTCTTTGGTGTGGGCCTCCTGGGCCTTCTTGGGGCCCTCTGGGGCCGTGCTGTTCCCGCTGGGCTGTGTTGAAGGCCGCGTTGAGCTGTTCCTGGGGCGACCTGGGGGCCCTGTTGGTCTGCCTTGGTGCCCTCTTGCGCCGTGAGCCCCTTCCAGGTGGCCTCATGGAGTGTCCTCTGGCTGTTTTGAGCCCCGCTTGGGCCGTCCTGGGGCCCCCCTGGGCGCCCACTGGGCCATCTTGGAGCGATCTCGGGGGCCTCGTCGGCCGTCCTGAGCGCTCTGGGGACCGAGAAGTCGAGTATTCGAAAATGGCACCGACACCCCACATTGTCCTGACGAAGGGCCCAGCCATATGCAGCTGTGAATATCGGCGTTGTGGGTATCCCCTTCGGTGGATCTCTGTTTAGGGTCACGGAGCGAGGAGGCATGCGGGCGCAGCCATTGGCGCCTTCGGTGGCGCTTCATATAGGGCCACGAAACGTGTGAGGGGCGTGCCGACATGGAGCGGGGCCGCCATGCGAACGTCGCCACTGAGGCCTTGGGTGCAACTCCCTATGGGGTCACGACGCGCTGCACTGAGTGGGTGAGACGCATGCGGACACCGCCACTGGAGCTTTGGGTTGAGCCCCCTATCGGGCCACGAAGCCTTCTACTTCGTGGGGGGTACGCATGCTGGCTGAGGCCGTCGGTGAAGCTCGTTATGGGGCCACGAAGCGTTGTACGGGGCGGAGGGGGTGCATGTGAACGCAACCGCTGGGGCCCTGGGTGGAGCCCACTGTGGGGCCACGAATCGCTGTGCTGGGTGGGGGGAACGCATGCGGGCACCGCCACTGGTGCCTTCCGTGGGGCTCCCTATGGGGCCACGAAGCGTTGTCCTGGGTGGGGTAGACGCATGCGGACACAGCCACTGGGGCCTTCGGTGGAGCCCCGTATGGGGCCACGCAACGTTGCACTGGGCCGGGGAAACGAATGCGGGCACCGCCGCTGGGGCCTTCGGTGGAGCTCCCTATGTGGCCACACAACGTGGTACTGGGTAGGGGGAACGCATGTGGACACCGCCACTGGGCCTTCGGTTGAGCTCCGTGTGGGACCACGCAATTTGTACTGGGTGGGGGGGACGCATGCGGACACCAGCACTAAGGCCTTCGGTGGAGCCCCCTTGGGGCCACGAAGCGGTGTGCTCGGTGGGGGAAACGCACACGAACCAACGCACACGAACCATGCAGCTGAGGCCTTCGGTGGAGCTCCCTATGGAACCACGAAGCGTGTGAGGAGTGCGCTGAAATGGACAGGAGGCGGCATGTGAACGCAGCCACTGGGGCCTTGGGTGGAGATCCTTGTCGGGCCGCGAAACGTGGGAGTGGTGTGCCAGGGTGGACAGGAGGCGGCATGTGAACGCAGCCACTGGGGCCTCGGGTGGGGAGACGAAACGTGTGAGTAGTATGAAAAGTGGAGGGGGGGCGTGTGAACGCAGCCACTGGGGCCTTTCGGTGGAGCTCCTATGGGGCCATGAAACGTAGGAGGGGTGTGCCAAAATGCTCAGGAGGCGGCGTGTGAACGCAGCCACTGGGGCCTTGGGTGGAGCTTCCTGTGGGGCCATGAATCGTGTGAGAGGTTACCAGAGTGCTCAGGTGGCGCCATGTGAACGCAGCCACTGGGGCCTTGGGT